GCGTACGCACGAAATGCTGCGTTCCGATTCGTGCAAAGCGCGAATATCTTTATACTGCCTATCGTTAGCCTGAATGTCTGCGAATTTTTTAACAGCGAAATTCTCGACGACGCAACGTTGGAGAAAACTCGTGGATTATTGGCGGATTATCCTTCGGTTGCTGCGCATTTAGATTTCCGGAAGGTTAAACATTCGGAATCACTGGTATGGAGGTTCCAGACTAATAGATGTTGACGTTATGGAAGACCATAACGTGTCCATTTGCTGGATATGACTAGCTTCCTGAGATACAGGGCATTCGTAATTTGTGAAGTTAAACACTTAAAAAGAAAAACACTGAAAGAACGATTTTGCTAAAATATCTAAAAATTTAAGCAAATACAGAAACATTTTCGTTTTGGATCGTCAAAATACACAATTATGTAAAAAATTTAAGCATGATGAGCAAAATGTAACAAAAAGTTCAGATATTCTCGTAACCAGTTTGAACGTTCTACATAATTATTTTGATAGTCCAAGAAAATTATTTTCAGACATACATCTGATATAGTTAAATTTTTAGATATTTTAAAACCGCACTGAACCAAAACTGTACGCAAATACAATAAAATATTTATTGAATTAATGAAAATTGGTTCAATGAATTTTCGTAATAATTTAGATTGTGAAACTATTACTAAAATTCATTGCAAGAATAAATATTGAATTATATTAATGAATCCAGTTATTGTATTAAATAAATTAACTTCATCAAGTCGGATATTAAGTTTGACATTGATTAACGATCATTCGTTGGACCAAAATTTTGTTCAGTGCGTCCTTTCCGTGAAGTAATACGGAATTTTAACAAAGTCAAATTTTCCCCTCTTCTCATTTACTTATCGCTCGTATTGCTATTCCGTTTTTTGAACTGAATTGTCACATATACATCTCATTTTTCTACCGTATTTCGGCATCAATTAACACAATAACGTACCGGTCAGTCTGATCAAGAAGATATCACAGTGCTGTGCTCTGCGTGGAGCAATATCGTATAAGGAATCCCGCGAAACGTCAAACTTCCCGACAATCTTTCGCGTATATCGTCTTTCCAAGATTGCCGTTTCTATCGAAAGATATGACACCGAGAATCACCGGGGGATATATATTTGCCTGAATGCCAAACCTTTCGGAAATCCCGCGTTTCCATAATAATCCTTGGAAATAGCGCTTTCCAGCTTTGTACAATATATTTTTATGTCGGATCTGCGTGAATCGGGCTAACGTTGGGCAATTTTACAGCGCAATGGGCCGCAGCAGCCGAGATTTCGCCGATAGTTTCTCGTCGCGCGGTTCCACCCACGTTGTTGATGAAAATAGCAAAAGTACAAAATCGCTATAGTAATTATCCGAATAAAAAAGATTAGCCTAATTTAACATTAACCTTATCAACTACGGAGCTAAGTGCGCCGTCGTGCGTCGACGCACGATCGATGATAAAGACACTTGCTGTCCTCTTAGAAAAAAAAAAAACAGCAGCTTACTACGGCACCGTCAGTAGCGGAAAAGGTATTCTTTTTTTTCCCCTCCCTTCTCGCGACGATTCCTCTTGTCTGCCGTAAGTTCATCGCTTCTCTACGTTCCGAGGATCCTCCGATACCAGCTCGACTCGAAATTCGAATCCGACTGAGATGTTTTGTCTCCACATGTATTCGCGCACGAAATTATGACAGAAGGAAAAACTAAGGTGCTCCCCAAATCGCAATATTCTCGGCTACGCCCCTAATCTACGCCTGCTGACACACGTCAACATGATCAGCCATTGCCAAAAATTGCCTAAATTCTGTAGAAAGGCTCCTACGGTCACTACTGTTTATCCTTATATTCTCGGTGAAAATACTTTAGTTATACAATAGTTAATGATATTCAGATGCTTTACATATTTATTGGTTATTCTAAATTATTGATAAACTTACATACAGAATTATTATTCTGTATTATATTATATATTATTTTCATCATTATTTTCATTAACAATGCAACGAAATCAAGAAATATTAAAGTAAAAAAATGTATGGTACATTTTATATATCTAAGGACGTTTCGTACTTTAATACTATCGAAGTTCCAAAATCCAAAGATTCTTAAATTTTCAATTATTAATGCATTTAATGAATGTGCGAGTAAAACTGAAAAGTAGATAGGAAAGTGCGTTTAGGAAAATTTCGTAAACACGAGGAGCCTTTTGTGATTCTATTTATTGTGAATCCACGCAATGAAATATTATAATTCTCGTGATCGCGTCAATCTGTGCAAAGTCGCGATAAATAATAACCGCGTGAATAACTTTGAAACTACATTGATCCTCTCAGTTCCTTTCTCGTTTTCGTTTGCGACAGGAACTCACAGGAGCGAGTAATAGCGCACATCGCTGATTCTTATTAAAAATTGAAAGCAGTAGGGAGTACAGGCGACACATGCATCTATTATACATACACGCGTCATAAATCATTAAGAAAAATTTCTCGTACACGCTTCTGATCGTACGAGGAACTTGAAACGTCTCGAAACTGACTGTCGCGTTAATTTTGAAAAAGAATGTTTCACTTACCTTGAAAAATGCGCACAAATGTGGTTTCTTTTATAAATACCAATTCTTTGTGTTTCTCACGTTTCAACAAACTTCGCACACAGAAAAGCAAAGGAAACGTTTAAAACAGCGGTACTTCTAGATCTAGACTTCATCTCTCATTTTAAAAGGCGATTATTGAGCCCATTTCGATGCTTCCAACGTCGCTCGAAATTTTTATCGGGCGTGTTGCGAAAAAAAAAATTCAAGTTCCTTTCACCATCGATCGAGCAGCCGTACTTGCGCTTTTTAATCGGTACTGTCAGAAGTGGCGAATTCGATAAACGTCAAGATAAAGAACGACGAATTGTGGAAAAAACGAAACTTGGAAAATAAGGAAGAAAGATAGAGGAAATACTAAAACGCTGCTTTTGCTTGGCAATTGCTCATTTGGCACTCTGAGAAAACGTACGATCGAGACGAAACGATCGGAGAAGGACTCAAAAAACGCGATCGTCCTTACCTCCGGCACTAAACACGAAATTAATTAACGCGGGAGTTTAATTTCATCGCGCACAGGAAACGCATCAGTTGACTGACTCGCCAATGTGTGTTGGTTGTCCAAGGAAGATTATCTCAAACTGATACATCCTCAAAGCGCTGTTCACCTGTACATTATTTTTAAATTTTTTTTATTTTTTCATTTCTCAACCCCCTATTTTCTTATCTCACTCTCCTTCGATCCTTTAATGGATCGTGAACGAAACTGCGTGGCTACTTCAAAAATTAATGAACGAATATCATTTTATTTCTTGAATTATTTATTTCTCATAAAATACATAAAAAAAGAAAATTACGCCTGTTAGACATAAACTCTACCCTTTTTTGTCTCTCTAATCGTGCTAGCATGTTTCTTTCGCATAGCATCGTAAAAGTAACTAAAAATATTATATGTATAAAAAGAAAATTTAAATTTAAAAAAATATTTAAAAGATTACAATTAATGTTATTTATATGCATGTTATTTTCGTGCGTTTCAAACTGATAACGTCGTGTATAGCAGAATAAAATTCAAACATAAATTTTCTTTAGTTTTTCACGTAACATATATTGTTAAAAAAAAAACATGCATCGCTTGTATCAAAAATGTATACCGTTGTCAACATTACATGAAAACAAAACGATATTTTTTGGTTTTATCAGACATATGACCGATGAAAGCGAACGAAAATAAAACTGTTACGCAAAGGCGTGAAGAAGTAGCCGCGCAGTTTCACGATCCTCATCGCGTTACGCACCACACACATGGGGCATTAAATTATCTCCTAAATATACCTCCCGACATACGGATTAAGTATACTTTTCTTTTTTTAAATCGAAGTAACGTAAAAAAGGTACACGATCGACTACACTACCTTGAGAACGGTGGGCGGTCTGTTTGTGGGACGGCCGCTATTGGTGGACAGCAACGACCAGCATCGCCAGAAAAAAAGGAGGTTCTCTTCTTCTCTCCAAACACACTTGCTTCTCTCCTACTTAATATATTATATACACTGGCTACTTCGGACGATCACGACTTTCCGCGAGAATCGTCCTGTACTCGAGCGAGCGACGACGGGACGATCGGAGAAACGAGAGAGCCATGCACTTCCGTCTAGACGAAAAAACTGTGTGTACACAGCGCGAGCGGTAGTATCAAAGGAATTGGTTTTCTTCTTTCAATGAATTTATTTTTACTTTTACGACCGGCGCGAATTTCATCCGTCCTAAATCGCGGAAAGTCGCGACACACGCCCGATCGAATCAACGTTGAAAACCCATCGAATGAGTCGTAGATCCTTAAACAAAATCAACATGGCCGCCGTAAACGTATAAACTAATAAAATGTAAAAAAAACAACGTGTTCTCGATTATCTAAGTAACAAACGATAGTTATTTCTTTCTTTCTTTCCCTCCCAATCTTTCCTAGAGAGTAGCCTTTTTCTTCTTTTCTTTTTTTCCTTTATACACGTTTACAATAAAGAGAATCGACCTTTCTCTCCGTGTCTTGTATCGTTTCTCTCCGCCTAAATTTATTTCATGTATTTATTTTTCTTTAAAGTAATTTCAACTATATTATGAAACGGGAGACGGCGAAGCTGTCACACTTGTCTCATCCAACGTTTCCGAAAGAAACCATCCAAGAGATGATTCAGCTCGTAGTCCAAAGCTTTTGTGCATATATAAATGAAGAAACATAGAAGATTTCTCCAACAAAAAAATTTTACTAGTTAAAACTTACCTATATCAGAGAACTACGTCCGTAATGACACAATCGTCAAAACGTAATGTATACTAATAAAAAAAATTAATTGCCGTTTATGACAGCAAAACGCACGATAAATGCCTTAAGAAACTTAAAGAGTAACGTTATATAGGGAAAATAAAGCACACTAATTTTGCAAGTCTCGCGCATTGTCAAACGAAACGTCAATATAATTCGACGTCTCCCGCTTAAGATCAATCTAGACAAACAAACTACAATTGACGTTAAAAAGAAATATCTTAAATTTTATGTACTATACGGGAATGCGCCAAGGGGCTCGCGCGTACCGTCATCGTGTAGAAAATAGACTGCTAAAAGAAAAAGTGATTCCTAAGGAATTAATGAAGAAACAACACTAGCTGTCGACCGAAATAAAAGCGTTTGGCGAGTTAATAGGAATTAATACATCGGTGGATCTCCGGCCGACAACACGCGCCAGGAAAGATCGCGGCCCCCGTGCGCGTTCGCCATCGTCAAGTCTCCTACAGGTCGCGAGGGGAGGATTCTAGAGCACGGTCGTCCGGAGCAGGGAGATCGACTTGTAAAAGAGAGGATACAAGTCAGCCGCGGTCGTGCGCATACGGCGGCGGTTCGCTAAGTTCTCTAATGGTTACGGCCACTGGCTGTAGAGCTGAAACTGCTCGCGGGTGAAGCAGGCCGAGAGCGGTTTCACAAAGTGGGCGTCGACCGTCCTGCAGTGTGGGCAGCCGAAGACGCGGCTGTAGTCCGAGTAGAAGTTCAGTCGCTGATGAGGGTAGATCAGGGGTTTCTGGCAGCTGTTGCACTGGAACGAAAATCGAACGACGGTGCGTTCATTTCGTGACGTGTTCTCCCTTCGTTGCGGGCGGGCGTAACAAATCGGCACGATAGAACCAACATACAGCTTCGATCGTCTAATTCGCCACGTATTGTAAGTTTGTATTACATCCTCTACATTCACAAACTATGCGATTGTTGTTTTCGAAATCGTCAATTTAAAAAAAAAAAAGAATGAGGTAAAATAAGTACAATACTGTCGTAATTCACATTAATATTAATTGAGAGAAACAAATAAGTGCAAAATAAACGAGAGATTATTTAAAGCCTTCTATTCCGACTGTATAGATATTATGTGGCGCCAAAATTAAAGAACATTTTTTTTTTTTTTACACAAATACGAGAACACGCTACCCGCGGTGCTGTATTAACACTCGCGTGTTTAAAGGGTCAAAGTTCGGCTGGGTCGACTAGTCACGAATTTAGTAGGGCGCTTACCTTGAGTCGCTCGCTGCAGCAGGGCATTGCAGCAAAGATATCGTAGCTGTACATGGTTCCGAGAACCAAGCTCGAGCCATCCCACGGTTGGGTGCAGAAACGACAGCGTACGGGCTGCCCGCCACTGCCCTCCAAACAACTCATGCAGACAGCTGACAAAAATTGTGTGCGACCTTCGACCTTCACCTGGAACGAAATATCAAATCGAACGTGCTATTGGACTCTTGAGGTATCTAAAAATTTCGCTTGATACAGATCTGAAAATAATTTTATTAGACCATCAAATTAATATAGGAATTTCAAACAAAGTGCTGCAAAATATTTGATATAATAGCAATTAATTCGTACGTTATTCTATATAATTATTTAATTCGATGGTTCAAACAACCTTACTTTCAGATCTATGTCTAGTAAAATTTTGTATGTGTACGTGTCTAGCTAAATTTTTAAATACTTCGGTAAAATCGTTCTGTTTAAACTGTAAGCGAAAAATGCAATAAAAGATAAGTTATGATTTTAATATTTCGTATAGTCTTGTCTGTAAATTTGTAATCAAATAGTTAATCAGTGTATCGAAATAATATACACTTCACAGACAGATACTGTGTATATACTATTTGGTTTATTAAGAGGCATTATTAAAATGTTCTCTGAACATTCGATGTAAAAACAAAGTGTACCAAATAATTTTTATATCGATTAATTCTTCTGTAAAATTAAATTGCTTTGGAATAGTTTCATTTATGAATAAACTATACCCATTATAAAAACTTTTTGTGTTAATTAAATATTTGTCTTATTCTTATGAGAAGAAAATTGTTACCCGTAAAATTTTGGTAAGAAACGTACCTCAGCGCAAGCAGGCGAATGTTGTCTGGGTGACAAGAAGAATGTACCGTCTACCAACGGATACCTGTCGAAAACCAGCATGGCAGCGCGACAAAGGACACATGTAACTCGAGACCACTGCAGAGCGGCCAATGTCGATAAAATGAAGCATCTGGTATCGTCGTTGCCGTGGTTGCCCTCGTCTTCCATCTGAAAACAAACCGTTAACGAATACATCGTTACATTGTGCGTGCAATCGTATTGTGAATAAATAATATATATAAAAATATGAGAGACCGTTCGTTCGTGCAAGTAATAACTCGTGAATTTATCTTTCTTTTCAATCTGCGAGGAAAATATAAAAAAATATTGAAGAAAAGAATTAATTTTTCTTTCAAACTTATCACAAGTTTATATTCGAAGATCCGATGGGAAATATCGCTGGTATCGTATTACGTCGGGCAGAAAACTCCAAGTTACTTTGAGCGGAAACGTTAGTCGATAACGACATCTTTTATCCCTTCGTTCGACCTCGTTTCCCTCGTTTACTTGCAAGAAAGAGTGACAATAATTTGAATGCAGAATTTCCCCATCCGGTAACTCTTACGCGCGAAGTAATAACGTCGGCGACATCAACAAAGCTCGTCTCATGCCCGCCCAGCTCGTTAAACCAGTTTCCGTGGGACGTTAGCCCTCGAGAGGAGAAAAGTACACGGGTCTTGATATCACCGCTGCCGTAAAAAGACCGAAGGCGACGCGGCGAGGGTGGAAGATCCGAAGAATGCAACGTGGCGTGGGTCTCGATAGTGGATAAACTAAGAAGGCGGTGACTGAGAAACGCCATAAAGATTTTCGTGAGAGGGGACTCTCGACCGGAGCTGGATGGAAAAAGGATGCAATGACGGAACGCATTTCGCCTGGATCACGGCACTAAAGGGCGAGAAAGCGTGGAGCGTAACCCGGAAGTTCCGGTGGAAGTTTTGAAAAAACGCGCACACTAGAGGTTCTCATAAACGGCGAAGGAAAAAGGACAACGGGATGCACAACGAGGTACTCCCAAGAAATCCGTCAGTGAATTTTAATAGTGTCTTGGAAAAAGTCTGGTGAAACAGACTCCTTCCGAGCTGGAGGTGAAATGAAAGAGCTGGGGACAATTGTACCGTAGCGAAGGAAGGTTTTAATAATGAACTGTGGAAGAAGACAAAAATGGTAGTGAAAGAGGTACAAGCTAGAGAAACTGCAATAGAAAGGAAAATTGAAAGGTAGCCTCGAAAGGGCGACGAAGGAAGCGGAAACGGGTGACTCTGCCGCCGACGGGAGAGACACGTCAGTAGATGACGTTTACACCCATAGTAAATAACCAGTCTTTCTACTTTGTTATTACAAAGAAAAAACAGAATAAGCAACAAAAGAATGTTTGCAAAGTAAAGTAGAGACAAGAATCTTTGTGTTAATATATGTAATTTTAATATTAGACTACTTTTATAATTAATAAAGACAATATAAGCATTCTAAAGCTGGTCTTTCATTTTCTGGTTAACTCTTACGGTTTAGGCTTAACCTCACTTAAACTAATCATAATGTAAGCATTGCCTTTTAGTTATTATTTTTTTTAGATATATACCTTAAAACCTTATTACTAGATCTAACCATAAGTTAACTAAAAAATAAAAAACAGGACTTGAATGAATAATAACAGCGGCAACATTAAAGCAACTAAATTGTTAAACATTGATAGATGTATCTTTTATTTTATATCCAAATACCGCGAGTGAGTATCAGATTGAGAGAGATAAATTTTTCATATCTTCTTATTTATTTCAGAGGCTCAGAAACACGGCTTTGTTCTTGTCGATGCGTGACGTTCTGTTCATCCTTAAGATTCTTCGAAGATGAAAGTATATTTCCAGACTACGCGGAGGTTTTCGAGTACTTGGAGTGACCGCCCGAGGGGCATAAGTGAAGAGCAAGGGAAGAGAATGCGGGATAAGTGAAAGAGAAAAGAGACACGAGGGAGAAAGGAGAGAAATATCGCGGCTTCTCCGACCAATAAATTCGTGGATTCGAGTAAAGAGGAAGAGAGATAGAATGGGAGTCCTTGACGCATCCTTGGTTGCTCGAGAGACTCGTACGAGCCACGTACATCCATTTATCCGTCCATCTATCTCGCCGTGAAGACTCAACGCCAATGTCGAAGAAATAAATTGAATTGGTATGTCGCGAGTATAAAAGACGCTTGCTGCGTGACGTACGATCCGGCTCCATGATCGAAGAGAAACACTCGAAGTTTTCACAACTTCGATTAGAGAGCCCAGGATTGCGCAACGCTGATACGACACAATACGACACTTCCTGCAATTTTATTGCGACTCGTAAGCCTGTCGAGTGCTAGGAAGAGCACGAAATATTTTGTGCGAAATATCTCAGGACTGTTCTCCAAATAATGGATGTATTTCATGGAGTATCTTGCTTGTAGAAATTTATAGTTAAATAACTATATGGGGAAAGAAATTTTATTATATATAATATAATTCATAATTATCACTTGTATGAGTTTGTATTTTATTTTTATATTTGTTCTCGTGTTCTACATTTTAACTTTTTATTTACTAAGATTCATTAGCACGAGTCTTCTGTCCGTAGTTTATACGTCTGAAAACGTTTTTAGCATTTTATAAAAAAATATTGAATTAAAAAATATTTAATTCTACAAATTTGACAACGGCAAAAGGTGAATGGACCCCAATAATTTCGACTAGTCTGCCTAAAAATCGAAGAGAGAGAAAGGCGTCGAGAAGCGACAGGGGTGGTGGATCGTAAATCGTGGTGTACTGTAAAAGGACTTACACCGGCGGCGTCGCGGATTATCGGAATTCAATAATGCGGGACGTTACAAATAAATGGAAAAATCTACCTTAGCGTCGCCGCACGCTCGACAGTGCAAAATAATAAATAACTGATGTTAGCGAGGCAGCGAAACCACATATTTTCCCTTATTACTTGGTCCAGCCTTTATCGATTGCGATATAATAAGATTTTTGAAGGATTACTCGATGAAAGTAAACTAAAAAAAAACTTGAAATTTCAGCATTTTATAATATATATAATCTTATATTTTTCGGTCCGTAAATTAAAATTTAACTTTAACTAGTTAAAAATAAACGTAGAAATCAAGTAGCTACGGAAATTTATTAACTAGAATTTAAAAGTGTTTAAATAGGATTACCAAAAGTTATAGTATATTACTTAACGATGTAATCTGACGGAAGATATTCCATTCTCTTGACCTTGTAGATCAAAATGAAAGTCTTAAATAATTTCTGTCGATGTAGAAGATTGTGAATTCAATTTTATCGCTCTGAAGGTAAAGGAAGGGAAGGAAGGAGGACGTATTCGGTGCTAAAACCGCTTGACTTCATTTTATGTACATTGTGCGAAGGAGACGATTTTCTTTTGAGGCAGAGGGAGTAAAACAGGGAGAAAGGGAGAAGGCATAGGGGATGCAGAAAAAAGGTACCGCTGGGGATTTTTTAGGGTTCCTAAGGACGCCCTTATTTAGAACCTTAACATCAACGCGGAGTCGGCCATAGGACGCAGAACGATAAAAGAGCGCTATATAGGCGAACGTAAAATTCGTTACGATCGAACTTCGCCTACTTCCGCTACTATCCTAAAGAAGAAAGAGAAGTAATTACTTACGAAAGACGCGAGGAAAGATGTGTGAGAGGTATTCTCTTTGTGCGCAATTCTACAATTTCTATCTTATTTTATAGCATACTATAGGCTTACCTAACTTTAATGGAAAAGGCTCGTTCAAATTTCATACTATTTTCTAAACAAATTTGTTACATTGACGCTACGCATAAGAAAAAAGGAGAAATGTCTCGTATTAAAACAATATACATATTTATAAAAAGTATCGCGATTACAAGTTAATTCATATATATTGTACATGTTAAAATACAATACGTCGAGCATCGAAAGATTCTATGTAGTTGCAATCATTTAATAATATTTTTCTATTAAGAGAGATATTTATTTTTCCAATAAAACTTTTCTCACGTTGATCGTTAATGTATATTTAACAGAGAACCGCAAGGTTCTTGCTGTCGAAGAAAACTTCATCCGACTAACGTAGACAATTGACTCACAGAACCCGACAACATAAATTCGTTGAAGAGTGGGTGCGCTCGTTGCATTCTCAGTTAACGCGAATACGAGCCTGCGAGACGAGCCCTCTTACTTTCTTTAAAAGCATCGAGCAGAGTTCAAACAGTTAGACGGTCTACAAAATGTATTTACGAGCGGCGCGATAAAGTACAAAGAAACAAGAGGAGTAAACGTTTCTATCTCTATCTTTACATTTCCCAAACTATCTCAACAAATATTCTAATTCTTCATTAACCGTATTTAAATAATATCAGCAATTTGTATTTTAGATAATAGTATTTCTTCAAATATTCAGTGTTTTTTATTTAGCGAAATCAATGTAAACATTTTAGGTTATAAAATTAAGATTAATGAGATAAAATTTAAGATAAAAAATAAAATAAAAAATAGTGAATAATTTTACAATCCAGATGTTAATTTTGTCTTATTAAATGCTTACAAAGTCACAAACAGTATTGAAATTAATCCTGTCGTCCGAAATTAGTCGTAAGTTCCTGTTCCGAATGATAAAGGCCGATCCAAGAGGGCTCAGAAAAGTTAAATGGAAAATAGAAAGTCTCAGGACTCAGGAACAAAGGGCTTACTTAGGACTGTCCATGTATTATAGCCGGAACAAAGGATTCGCGAAGGATTTTCCCCGCACATCCTCTTCAACGTGGAAGGGTGTGGCGGTCCGGAGCGATAACAACTTCTCGCTGAAAGTTTCCCGTTCCCCGTTCTTCGTTTCCCCGACGAGGGATATTCTCAGCTCTCCGTGTCGTTCTCCATGCAAGTGACCCACTGCCATTCCAGGAAAGACGTGCCGAACAAAGAGATTCTCGTCAGGGTGCTCCTTCTAGCGTGAAAATAATCAATGGCGTCTCGTCTCCCAAGACTTTCGTTTCCAGAAGTCTTGCGGCGATAATGGCTTTCTTTCCTTCGTGCCAGTTGTTATCGATCTGATGATCATCTGTGTTTAGCTGCTAACCGAGTTCTGACCTCCATTTCTAATCGCGGCGCTCAATTACTAGACCACGATGTTCGATAGCGGTGGGCAGCTG